GATTAAAAACTCTCCAGTAAGGCTGCACTTTTTGCTGCATGGTTTCCCCGGGCAGAGGAGCTCTTCTGTGTCCCTTTGAGAGCAGCTGAAGGAGGGTTCCCTCAACACCCCAACCACCCGTGGCACCAAGCCAGGCTGTGGCAGAAGGAGCCTACACCTCCCTCTCCCCTCCACAGCCACAGAAATGTGCACGCTGCAAAGCTAAAACCATCTGGGCTCCTGACTCGCCGCTTCCCATCTGGGCTCCTGGCAGCAACGGGAGGAGTAAACCAGCCAGAGCTGGAGAAAGACGTGGATCATCTTGCATGAAGCTCTTCTGTATCGGCTCCAGGGAGACCAGCTCCTCCCCGAGAGCGGGGACACGTTCCTTCCCTCGGACACACGTTGCCTCTTCTGTATCTCCCCAAATCTGCTTGCTCTCCTCCGAATCTATGGCATGTGAGCTGGGGGTGTGCTGCCAGGCACAGCTCAAAGGCTGCGGAGCCGTTTGGGGTAGAAACTGGCAGAATCTTCCTTCTGAGGGTTGGGTTCTGGCCACACATCACTTTTTTTGGCTAGTCCCACCTAAAAGGAGTCCCTCGTCCAAGCTGCTTCCCAGCTACAATGGCTCCAGGTCAATACTCAAGTTCTCAGGTGACCTGCTGTGCTGCTGCCACACACCCACCTCTGCACCGAGGATCAAAACGCAGGTTCTCTGTGAGGACGAGGCAGAGAAGGCAGCTCAGCACCAGCTAAACCACCCTCTGCTACATCCCACATGGCTCCCTCCTCGCCTTGTCCATTCAGGATGGCAGTTTAAGCTGTTACCAAAGTTTTCTGGGCAAGAAGAGTTATTTGCACCCAGAGGGTGAACCAACTTTTCTTCAACAGAGCGGTGATGGGTCCAGAGTCACAGCTTCAAGGCACGGGAAGGGGAGAGCAGGACAAGGCTGGAATATGTGACCCAGTATGGGAGATTTGTGCCTGGATCAGTCGCTTTCTCAAGGTTAAAATAGCAAAGGGACAAAAAAAGCTGCCCAAGCAAACAAGACAGACAGAAAGGGAGCAGCTCAAGAGGGACAGATTGGGGTTTCATCACCCCCCCGCTGTGTGCCAGGACCGATTGCTCTCCTCAATAAAGTTCATTGCAAGCTCCAGCAAAGCGCTTTCACCCGCAGGTGCCCGGGGAGGAGGATCAGCAACAGGGCAGAACGATGCTCTTTCACACTTGGCGCTCAGCCTGCCCCACTCTTATCAACGTCCCTGTTGACTCAGTCCAACCACAACCCATCCCGCAAAGTGACTTCTGCCAGCGAGGCCAGTAAGACCCAACTCCTGCCCTCGGGGCACACGCGGCTCTGTTGACCTGTGCCTGTTGGTTCAGCCGTGCCAGGGCAGGAGCAACACCTCCATCAGAGACCTGCTCACACGCTTCAGCCCTACACCACTCAAAAACAAGGCCAGTAAACCCAACACCAGTGTGTAACTGGTGCCATTGTGTCACCAATGCTGCCTACGTTGTATTTTACGTGCAAGATGGGACTTTCCTCCTCACCCCGGTCTGCATTCAGGGTCCTGCTCATAGATTTACCTGCAACAGCATTTCCATCAGAGGCATCTCCAGGAAGACCATGACCTGGGAGAAGGTCTTCAGCGCCTACTACACAAACCAGAAGGTCACTGCACTGTCTGGACCCACCCAAATTCAACCACCAGCACCACCTGCAGAGGGTGGAGACCCCCCCCTTCTCACCACACAGGTACTGGGACGGGAAGGCAGCAACACCGCAAATCCCCCCAGGCACTACTGGAAATAGGCTGAAGACACGACAGTCTCCCTCTTTATATAAAAGCATTGTCTTTGGAGGAGCAAAGTGAGTCCCTTTGGGAGGCCTGGCTCAAAGCTGAGTGCATTTTGGTTACCTTTATCCAACACCCACACAAACCCGCTATCTTTCCCTGCCTTTCTAAACACAAAGTTTACTGACGAACCCCCATATAATCCATCCTCCACAGGGAACCCAGTGCAACCTGTCGCATTGGTCAAACCCGCTCCACCAAGTGCATTTATCTCCACCTCATCAGGAAAGGAGAGCGTGAGCAAGGCCAGACCCCTCCTGTCCCCCCCTACAGACAGCTTCGGGGGAGATCAGACCCACAGAAGCCGCCACTGTGCTGCTCCCAATCACACCCACCCAGCAATGTCCCCCACTCCCAAAGACAGACTTATGGGGGGCACACATTGAATGTGATCACACCCCACTCAGGAACATTGTGCCACACTGTGCTGCACGACATAAAGGCAGGATGGGATGCCATCCAGAAGGACCTGGACAGGCTGGGAAGTGGGTCTGTGTGACCCTCGTGAGGTTCAACAAGGCCAAGAGCACAGTCCTGTCCCCGGGTGGGGGCAACCCCAGGTTCCAGCACAGGCAGGGGATGGAGGGACAGAGAGCAGCCCGTCTCTAGCAGAGGGCTGGAGCCCCTCTGCTGGGAGGGGGGGCCGAGAGAGTTGGGGGGGTCAACCTGGAGAAGAGAAGGCTCCGGGGAGACCTTGGAGCCCCTGCCAGTCCCTAAAGAAGGGGGGCTCCAGGAAAGCTGGGGAGGGACTCTGGATGAGGGAGGGGAACCCCAGGAGGAGGGGGAAGGGTTGGACCCTGCAAGAGGGGAGATGGAGCTGAGCTGTGGGGAAGAACTTGTTTGGTGGGAGGGTGGTGAGAGCCTGGCCCAGGTTGGCCCGAGAAGCTGTGGCTGCCCCATCCCTGGAGGGGTTCAAGGGCAGGTTGGAGGGGGCTTGGAGCAACCTGGTGTGGTGGGAGGTGTCCCTGCCCAGGGCGGGGGTGGCACTGGGGGGGCTTTAAGATCCCTTCCCACCCAAACCATTCCATGGTTCCAAGGTGTGTCCCCACCTCAGGAGCAGGGCTGAGGTGCACAGCTGGCATGTGATCACACTGCCCCACTCTCTGTTCTTCCAACACCAGACTTTGGTGCACAGCACATGGTGGTGGGTCCCACATCTCACAGGGTTCCCCACAACCCCCCGTGAAACAGCTCAGAGGGGAAGGAGAGAGGAGAAAATGCATTTTATTACACTGCAGTTCACTGCTCCCCTGCACAGCCCACTCAGGGCACCATGCATGGGGTGGGAAGAGGGGGCCCTGCATGGAGCCCAGCACCCACCGCACCCCACAGCGGGGCACCGGGGAAAAGGGAGGGCCTCACGTTTCACACAGCCACCCTTCCACTGTGCAGCCTCCCCTCCACGGGGGTAGGACCCACGGCAGACACCCCCCTCCGCTCCGGCACCAGGCCCCATTGCAGCTGGCCCCCGCCGCATGGAAGCAGGCCCCATGGCTTCCCCTCCACAAGCCGGGACCCAGGGTAGCCCTCACCTCCAGCCCCCCCCCAAACCCCCCATCCACGGCCCAGGACCCATGGCAGCCCCCGCCTCCCCCACGTTACCGGGCCCTACGACCCCCTCTCCATGAAGCCAGGACCCAGGGCAGCCCC